GGTCAGATCCTGCATTTCTCATTGCCTGGCTCTGAGTGACCCACTCGTGACAGCAGAGAGGACAGAGCTGAGCTGCCCTGCACGGCAAGGAGGGTGGTGAAGATGGATGGGGCTGGCCCAGCTGGATCCTGCCCTGCTGGGACTGCCTCCAACCCTGGGAGAGGGTTGCCAAGCCTGTCCCCTCATGTGCCCCACACTCAGCTCTCCAGCCCATGCACACAAGGACAAGGTGAGGTCCCCCAATTTGATGATGCCGTATCCCCAGCTGTACAAAAGGGCTGGGAGCACATCCCTTAGCATATGCAGCACCCCACAGCCACAGTGATGGGCTGAGCTCCTCAGACCTTGCTGCCCCTTGTTAGGGCCCTGATGTAGCATCTTGCCCCCAGGCTGGTCCCCAAACGGGCCATACACACCCTGGGAAGCACCCATAGAAGCTGTGTGACCCTCTGGGATTAGCAAAGGCCCCAGTACTGGGCTGAAAACCAGCTCAGAGTGAACCCTGAGCTCCTCACATGGTAATTTGGAGACTTCTGGCTGAGTGGTTGCATGTCACAGCCTTGAGAGCGGTGCTCAGTCACCTCGAAGCAGGAGGAGGGAAGAGGTGACCTCAGTGCCTGGCTGCTTGGGGTGCTGGAAGGGCCAGCCCCATGGCCACTGTGAGGGCCACCCCAACCCCACCTGTGGGCTGCCCTTGACCGGTCCCACAGTACGGAGCATCCCTCCACCGCGGCTGCACGCATTGCTCGCCCCGTGCCGCACCAATGGCAGGGGTATTTTTAGCCTGGAAAAGCGCCACAATATCATAGAGTGACATTAGCTGGAGTGGGGACCAACGCCTCGGTTCACCTTGCAGTCTCCTCCAGGTCACCCTGCCTGGCTCGCTGAGGCACTGGGTCCCTGCCAGCACCGCCACATAAGCACCAAGCACACACTGGGCTCCCCAGCATCATCACCATCCTGTCCCCTCCTTCCATGCCACGGTGCCACCTTCCCCTAGGAGCAGCCTCCAACTCCCCATGACCTTCCTGGGCCACTGAGGGGATGTCCTGCCTGGTCCCACTGGTGACTACACCCAAGCCCCTTGCCCTGCTGAGACGTAAAGAGAGTGGGGCTCTCTGCCCATGCCCTGGTGCCAGCCAAACCAAGTCTCCCAGCCAGAGCACCACCGCAGTTATCCACGCCTTAGGCACCCATTTGTCACCCTGAGGTGATTTCTGCTCCTGCTAGGGAAGGAAAGCACCCAGAGCCCATTATACAGCTTCTCCAGGAAAAGACAGGACCAGCACCGCACTGGGGAACCGGATGAATGTGCCATTAGAAGAGAACAAAGCACCCAGGCTGGGTACACATTGGGTGACCAGGGAAGGCTGCAGGCTGGGAGCAGTGAGCCATTGAGAATGTGTTGTCCATGGCATTAATTTCACACCTGATTAAAGGCCTCACAATGTTTGTTTTGGGACAGCCTGTCACCGTGTCCACCCCAGGGCTCTCCTCTCCTTGAACACAGGGAGGCTCCTATTTGTTTTGCTGCGTTCCTTGGGCACAGCCAAGAGACTGTGTCTGCTGCCTCTTTCACTGCTCAGAGGATTAAAACATGGAAAGGGGAACTGGCATATCCCTAAACGAAAGGCACAGAGGCCTTGAATCTTTCCCAAGGAACAGTTTGCTCCCCAGTGCTCATTAAGCATTTAAGCAACCAGTGCAGAGCAGAAGCGCAGAGCAGCGCTAACACGCTGGCTGCAGAGCCCTCTGCGCTCAGCAACCCCGTTTCACACCTTGGCTCCTGCAAAAACATCCCAGTCCTAGGGTAAAAGGGAGAGGAGGATGTCTAGAGCCAGCTGGGTTGGCTGGGAGCCTTGGGAGAGGGGACGGAAGGCAGGAGGGAATTAGATGGGGAATGGAGGTGCCTCCTGTGTGGTGCTCTCTGATTAAAATAAGCAGTGTCAGAGAGCAGCTGCCTTTGCCCTGATGGATCTCAGAGCCATTATCCTGTCTTTGCTGGCTGAGATGCTGAGCATGTGACACCCCCAAACCTGCCCCTAAGCTGCTATCAACCCGTGCCCCGGAGCCCCTCAATCCCTCTGTGCCTGCTGGAGGGGAGCTGGAACAAGTTGCTTAAAGCCCACCACAAATCTGTGCCCACCTGAAGCTTCCGCCCCTCCTGGTGCTGCAGCATCTCCTGCCTCTGGGGTGAAGAGCAAAGCATGTTCCTTCACTCACTGCCTTCCCTCCAACGCACTCCCAAGACAGCACAAAACTGTTCACCCCCAAATGGAGCCCAAGCACCTCTCAACCTTTTCTCCAGGAAAAAAAACAACCCTGTTTTCAAGAGGTTGAATCACGCAGCCCTTCGGAATGGTGCTGTCTGCATGCGAATGCACTACAGGGTTTATCAGGCAGGATTAAATATATACAAGTGACAATGCAGGGGCTGAGCAGCAGAGAGGGGTCTGGATCCAGGCTGTGTGGACTGGCACAGCTCTCCTCCAGGTCTGGATCCAGGCAGATTAGCAGCAGGTCAGAGTCCAGCCCCATGGGAACAGCTTGACTAGGGCTCAGAGACAGCAGAGGGAAAGGGAATAACGGTATTACACTTTCCCCCTGCCTTAGCATCCCCAATCTCTGCTGCCTGCGCCTCTCCTAGGAGCAGAGCCTGGCACTGTGATGGGGACAGCTTCGGGGCAGAGACAGGGGAAGCCAATGCCAGTCCCAGCGCTGGGCACTACACCTGGCTGCTGCCCACAGCCTGGTTGTAGTGTGCTCCCTGCAGCCCGGCACTGGATGCCAGCCTCCAGGAGCCTGTTCCTGCTGGCTGGAATCTTTGCTCTCTACAGAAAAACAACCTCACACTCCTTTTTAAGGAGCACGGGGAGAAACCTGTGCTTGTCACTCCCCAAAATCCCCTGTCCGGGATGCAGCACTGTGCCCGGGGGTCCCCTGGGCACAGCCAGGCTCTGCTTTTACAGCTCCGGCTCCATCCCCCTGACCCTGTGGCAACAAATCAGCGCTGCCTTCGCTTTCCCGATGGGATGGACGCTCGCCGCCTGCGTTTTCTCTGAGCTGATTTCCAGCATGGCCTCGCTCCTCGCCGCACTGGCTGCCTGCAGAGCTGCAGGGCGGGCAGGAGGGCTGCCCATCAGGGAGCCACGCTGACGCATCAGCTCCACCGGCCTCCCCACGGGCTTCGTTAGCACGGCCCCAGTGCCCTGCTGACTGCAGCCAAGGCTTGTGGATGGTTATTGAGAGCCCGTGCTCGTGGCCACCTGCAGAACCAGCCCCATGGCCACTCCATCCATCCTCCTCGAGGATGCAGGCACGGATGCAGGAATGCCCTGTGGGTGCCTCAGTTTCCCCAGAGGGCAGAGAGGATGCGGCTGGCTCCCCTCCTCCTGCGGTGTCAGGTCCGCTTAGCTCGGACAGCCTCTGGATGAGAAACTGTCACACAGTGTGCGCTGGCTCCTCGCCCCACGGCTCCACATCCTGCCCTGCACCTCCCAGCACCGCAGCCCCATAATGGCAATGGTAATCAGAGGAGACTTCTCCCAGCTCCTGGTGCTAGGAGAGCTGATGAGTGGGGATGAGGGCTCCTGCACGCTGCCTCACAGCTAAGTGCTTGCTGCCTACAGCCACTTGTCTTCTCCCCTGCTCTGGACAAGGTGCCCCAGGCTCGGCTTCACAGAGCCAGCCCTCGGTCATGGTGCCTCCCACAGCAAACTCAACACGGAGCTCTGGAAATCCTCCTCTGCCTTTCCACCGAGAAGAAGGCAGCGCAGCCCTGAGCCCCTCACCTGCCCTGGGGGTACCATGCTCTTCTCCTCCACTGAGATCCTCCTCTGTGAACCCCTGCAGCAACGGCTTTGTACGACAGCTCCTAGCCATTACCAAACTGTAGTTAATACAAACAAACGAGATAGGGCAGCCACAGAAGAGTGAGCAGAAATCTGCCGGAATCATTAATTCTGTGTTTTTCTCTTTTCTTCATACTATTCATTTCCTAGAAAACTAATCAAAGACTGCCTTAGGACCAGAGGTGACTGCGGCTGGGCCGGGTGGCCCCAGGGGAGACAGCAAAGGCAGGCAAGCAGCCCAGCCCTGTCTATGCTGCCCTGGTTAACAAGCAGCTCTCCTCCTTCTACCTCAGTTTCCCCCTCCCTGGCAGCCACTGCAGCTTCCCACATCACACAGACACGACTATCCATCTTGCCTTCTCCAAGGAGCTTACCTGCCCCTACCGAGGGCTGCCCATCCGCTGAGCCTCTGGGAAACGCAACCGAAGGGGTCCCAGAGAGGGGGCTGAGCCCCAGCCTGGCTGTGGGCCGGCCCTGGGCTGCGGCCCTGAAACGAGCACCGCCAGGCCGGGCAGAGGGAGGAAGGAGCCAGGGTCCGGCTCTTCCCCTGGCACTCGGACGAGCAGTACCTCCGGAGCATCCCTCTGCCCCGGCACAGCCCTCGACACAGCACATCGCTGGTCCCAGCACATTCCTTGTCCCGGGGAGCATCCCTGAGCCTTTCAGGTCTTCTGATCCCAGCACATCCTTGGTCCCCGGAGCATCCCTCAGCACTGCACATCCCCTGATCCCAGCACAGCCATCAGCCCTTCCACATCCCTAACCCCGAGCGGGTCCCTCGATCCCATCGCCCCTCCGCACCCCCGACCCGGGGCGCGCCCCTGCCCCTCGCACCTCCCTCCCTGCGCAGCACCGGGACAGAGCCGCCCCGCACGGAGGAGCCCCGGGATGGGACGTGGGGCTCCAGGGCAGCCCCGACGGGGCGGCAGAGCTCCCCGAGCGCTGGGGAGGAGGCGGCCAGGGCGGAGAGGAGCCCCCCGCCGCCGCGCACCGCCTCCTCCCCGCCGCGGCGGGCGAGGCTCCGCCCGGCTCCCGGGGCCCGCAGCCGGCCGGCACCCACCCTGCGGCGGGCTCCCGCTCGCCCGGACTATGAGGAGCGGGGCCAGGCGAGGGGCGGCGGCAGCGGCAGCGGCCCCGGTGCGGCGAGAGCGGGAGCCGGGGAGCCGCCGCCGCCGGCCGGGTCATGCCCGTGCGCCCGGGGCGGCGGGGCTGCGGGCTGCGGCGGGATGGGCGCGCTCCGGGCCGGCGCCCTCGCCTTCCTCCTCCTCCTCTTCCTCAGCTGCTTCCTGCCCGGGCGCGGCCCGCTCAGGTGAGCGCACGGCGCGGGGGCTCGGCGCTGCGCGTCCCGCGGGGTGCCCCCCACTCGCGGGCCGTGGGGCTGCGGGGACGCTGCTCTCCGCACCGCTCCCGCGGCACCCAGACCCTCATCCCCTCCCAGGGGAGACACGTTTCCCCGCCGGGACCCGGGCATCATCCCCTCTCGGAGGCAGCTCTCCTGCGGGACCCGGGCGTCCCCTCCCAGACCCCACAAACCCGATCCGGACCTCTCTTCAGGGGCTGCTTCCCGCAGCCAGAACCCTCCCAGTCCCAATCCGGACCTCCCCGCAGGCTGCCAGAGCTCCCCCATATCCCTGGGACCCTGACCCAGCACCCCAGGGACCCACCAGACCTTCCCCCTCCAGCCCCAGCCAGGCTCTGCCTGTCCCCAGCAGCCCCGGCCGCGGTGCTGGGTCCCCGCTGATGTCCCTGACCCCAAGCTGGGGACCTCTGCCACGGTGGTAGAAGGTGTGATCCCAGCCAGCTGATGTCCCAGGAAGCTCCTTCTCCAGTGCTGCAAAGTCCCTATGATGCCCAGACCCTCTACCGGATTAGGGTGTCTGGGGGGGCTCAGGACAATCTGTGACCCATTCCCTGTGTCACCCAGGCCAGGGGATGCCCCACATTCCATGGGTGCAGGAACAACTCTTGGCCCACTTGGATGGAATATCCAAAGCTCCCAATCTGGCCATGTTGGGTGCTACCTGGGGCAAGGTGGGATGCAGGGAAGCAGGGGTCAGGCAGGGAGGGGTTGGGGGGCTGCAGCGTTCCAGGGCTGAGCCCTCTCCCTGCCTCCATCCTCCCCCACTACCCAGACAGAACAGCTGGAGCAGTGAGGGGGATAACCGCGGCGTCTGTGGTGGGGAGGGGGAAACGGTACCAAAATGTCTTGGTTTCACGTGTGGGGCTGCTTGTCTCGGGGTGGCATTTTTAGCCGGATGTGTTTCCCAACCCCACTATCCCCTCACTCCACAAGGTGCTGAGCTCCAGGGCCACGTTAGTGGCAGAGTCCCCTCGGGATCAGGACCCAGGGCTGTGCCCAGGGGCTCTGTGTCTCAGTGGCCCTGCCAGTGACACCGCTGGAGGTGGCTGCACCGGGGTGTTCCTGCACCCGTGCAGTCCTCGATGTGCGAGCATCGCAGGGGCTGCAGCTCAGCTGAGCCTCCTCAAAGAGCCTTCCTCCCACATGCTCCAGGGGAGAACCCTCATCTTCCTTTCCAACGGAGGAGGAAACCTGCACAGATGTGTGGCAGGCAGAGGTCTGACTTAACTCCTTGTTCTCCTGGCCTCTCACAGCCCTCCTCCCAAAGGTCCACCTTCCTAATGCAGGTCCTGGAGGGCAAATTTCTCCTGCCAGGACCAGCATCAGGTTCTCCCTGCCGCCTATCTCCAATTAAGGGAAAACATGCCTGGCTGGATCATTTGGGGATGGTCCCTGTGGCCATTTCTGGCTGGCAAAGGATGCACATAAGCCCCTCCAGGATGAGCCCTGCTCCCCTGAGAGGAAGTAGGAAGAGGTGTGTTGGTAGGAACAAGGAGGTAGGAAGAAGGAGCCCAGGGGGTCCCAGCTCCCAGCATCATCCTCTTGCTTGAGATAATGGGGTTGCAGCTCCAAACAGGAGTAGGACCCACCTGGGCATGGCCCTGGTGGGGTTATGAAGCAGTGTGCAGCAGCACCAGCAGCGTGCTCAAAGCTCCCTCTGTGTCTGAGGTCTCTGGCTAGTTCCTCTCCATCACAGCCACATGCCTGGCAATGTGGTGAGCGAGCGTCTCTCGCATTGTTCCTTGGAATGATCATTATAGACTGATAGAAGGAGAGAAGTTGGCAGGCTGAGATGTGTGCATGAAAACAGCCCCCCAGGGTCAGTTTAAATAAGTCTCCATCATCTTTGGGAGCGCTGCGTCGGAGAGATTTTGTCAGTTCCATACCATGGCCAGTGCAGAGGTGGGCTTTGCTGCTCCACTCCTGCCACATCCTCTTGCCTACTGGCAAGGTGTCACAGCCCAGCTGTGCTCCTGGGCACCTCCTCACTCATTCCAGGCCAGCCCATGGTTGTGTCCTCAGGCCCTCCAAACAACGAGTCCCTGCCAGGCAGGGTATGGATGTTTGCTCAGCAGCTCAAGCCAGGGCTGGTGATTGAACCCAGGGGAACCATCCACACTTTGCACCTCCAGCACAGGCACAGAGCCTGGCTGCCGGGCACAAGGCCACTGCCTGCTGTGCCCTGTCCCCACCACAGCCCTGGAGCTGCGAGGAACCTGTCCCCAAACATCCTATCAGGGGACACAGCGGGTAGGGGGACAGGCAAAACACAGGCATGTGGCACTCAGGCTGTGACAGAGAGGGGATAACAGTGGGAGCAGGTCCTGGGTCAGCACACTGATGGCACTGGAGTGGATGCGATGTGGGCACAGCCGCTTCCCTGGGCGCTGGCACTGCAGGGTGCTGAGATGTGCCTGCAGACAGCTCCCCTGCCTCCTCTGCCCCGCAGGCTGGTCTCAGGGCGGGAGGAAATCAAAGCTGCTTCCCGAGGCTCACCCCAGCCCATGTCACCTTCTGATTTCCTGGACAAGCTTATGGGACGAACGTCAGGGTATGATGCCCGGATTCGACCCAACTTCAAAGGTAAGGGAAGGACATGAGGCTCCCAAACCTGGCAGAGACCCACACTTAAGGCTGCCCAAAACCAGGGAATAGGCAAGTGTTGGTAGGACCCTGACCCCCATCCCAACACCCTCCCTGTGTGCAATCCCAGTGCCCTGCATGTGCCCGCTGTGCGTGGGTATAGTGGGGTTCACACCAACACCCTGTGGGGGGCCCTCAGCAGGCAGGGGATGCTCGTGTGCATCCATTCACACAGTGCACGCAGGAGGGGGTTTTCTGCCCTGCACGTCTCCATGGCCAGCAGCAAGAGGAGGCTTCACCCTGTTTTTCAGGTCCACCCGTCAACGTGACCTGCAACATCTTCATCAACAGCTTCGGCTCCGTCACCGAGACCACCATGGTGAGGGCTTTGCTGGCACAAGGGGGCTCCTGTCCCAGTGGTTCTGACAGTGGGGGGGGCACAGGTCCTGGTGACCAAGCCTGTGGCTGTGTTTACAGGGGTCCTGCGAGCCCTGGCACCACAGTGGGGACACAGCAAATGGCTGTGGCTTTTCCAGGATCACTCAACCAGAGCCGGGCTTTGTGGGCCCCACTCCTGTGCCTGAGCTGGGTCACAGTGTGGCAGGCTCAGCGGGTGCCATACAACCCAAGCGATCTCTGTGTCCCCATCATCCCAGCCTCCCCGTGTGCATGAGGAAGCCCCAGGGCTAGAAATTCCCTCTTGGTGCTGCTGCAAAGCCTTAATGCCATAAACTGCCACATCAGCCCCCTGCAGAGCCCTGCAACAAACACTGCAGGCAGCAGCTGCTGGTCCTCCTCCTCCTCCCAGCGCTGTGGCTTTCATGTCAACAGCATGGGAAGGCTCCTGACCTGCCCCTGCCCGCCCGTGGTTAGTGCCAGGCAGGCAGCTCCTGCAGGGCTGAGGCCCCTCCACCTCCTTCTCCATCCCACCTTCCCCTTCCATCTCCTCCTCCTCGGGCCCTACGAGGTGTTCGCAGCTGACGTGGTGCCCCCCGCCCCAGGACTACCGGGTGAACGTGTTCCTGCGGCAGCAGTGGAACGACCCCCGCCTGGCTTACCGCGAGTACCCAGACGACTCCCTGGACCTCGACCCCTCCATGCTCGACTCCATCTGGAAGCCAGACTTGTTCTTTGCCAACGAGAAAGGGGCCAATTTCCACGAGGTCACCACCGACAACAAGCTGCTGCGCATCTTCAAGAACGGCAACGTGCTCTACAGCATCAGGTAGGACCCTGCTCCTCCGGTGCGGTGCCTGGGCAGGGAGGTGAAGCTTCCTTTTCGTTCCCCCTGCCAACTGTCCCAGCCCCCAGCAACCCCCTCATTTTCTCTGCCTCCTCCAGGCTGACTCTGATCCTGTCCTGCCCCATGGACCTCAAGAATTTTCCCATGGACATCCAGACATGCACCATGCAGCTGGAGAGCTGTGAGTACCTGGGGGGGGTCAAGCTTTGCTTTGCCCCCTCCATCACCTTCCATCCCATCCATCTGAGGGAGGTGAAGAGGAAGGAATGATCATTCAGGGTGGGGATGAGCAGGGTGCCTCTTCCACCATGTCCCATGGCTCCTTCCATCCCCTCCAGTTGGCTACACCATGAATGACCTCATCTTCAAGTGGTTGGAGGAGCAGGAGGCCGTGCAGGTGGCAGAGGGCTTGACACTTCCGCAGTTTATCCTCAGGGATGAGAAGGACCTGGGCTATTGCACCAAGTACTACAACACAGGTAGGGGGCCTCAGGGACCTGCTGCCACCCTTTCGCCATGTCCCAAGGGTCCCTCTCACCCATCAGGCTGCCATTCCTATAGGCAAGTTCACCTGCATCGAGGTGAAGTTCCACCTGGAGAGACAGATGGGTTACTACCTGATCCAGATGTACATCCCCAGCCTGCTCATCGTCATCCTCTCCTGGGTCTCCTTCTGGATCAACATGGATGCGGCACCGGCCCGGGTGGGCTTGGGCATCACCACTGTGCTCACCATGACCACACAGAGCGCTGGCTCCCGCGCCTCCCTGCCCAAGGTCAGTGCCGGCTCCATGCTGGGCTCTTGAGCTGCAGCCTGACCAGGGAACATGGGCTGCCCCCAGCGTCCCAAGGGCAGCATTCCCTTGGGGATGGCTGGCTCCATAGCTGGACAGCTATGCAGTGAGCAGGAACATGGTGCTGCTCGGCTGGGCAAGCTCTGATCCATGTGTCCTACCTAAGAGGGCCTCTGTGTCCCTTGCAGTGGGGTGAAGTGGGGAGGGACAAAACGAGGCAGGGGGCAGCAGGTCCCTGAGCCCCATCACATCCCCGCAGGTCTCCTATGTGAAGGCCATTGACATCTGGATGGCCATTTGCCTGCTCTTTGTCTTCGCTGCCCTGTTGGAGTACGCAGCCGTCAACTTCGTCTCCCGCCAGCACAAGGAGTTCATGCGCCTGCGCCGGCGCCAGCGGCGCCAGAGAATGGTGAGTCCTTCCCACCATGGACATCTGCCCATCCTCAGCCACTGAGGGGACAGCCTGGGGCTGCAGGGACAGTTTAGCCCCAGGACAGGGCTGTGTCCCACTGCCCAGGGCTTGCAGCCAGCCCCTCCGGCACAACAAGGACCCGGGGGCATCGCAGTGCTTCTGCCTGCCTGAGCAGCACAGTGCAGAGCACCCATGGGTGCCCCAGCACAAACACACCCATGGTGCCATCCTCCTCCTGCCAGCACATCCTCGGGTTCTGCTTCTCTAAAGAAGCAGAACAATTAGCTGCAAGGGTGGGTGAAACAGCCTTTCCCCTTACCTGCAGCATCAACGCTGGGCTCCTCACTGTGGTGAGGGTGATGAAGCATCAAGGGGACCCGGCAGCGTCCAGGGACAGGGTCTGGGCTGCAGAAGGGAATGCAGCAGGTCCTGGAGAGGAAGGGTTCCATGCTGCAGGACAACCCTCTCCTCCATCAGCCCATCAGGGGAAGACACGTGGCTCCCCCACTCTCATTTCCTTACCATAACCACACCATGAGGCACCAGACCTCCGTGGAAAACACAAGTACACACACACCACATGGGCTCGCAGCGTCCTGTGCAGCCAAACCCCTTCAGCACATGCTGAAGATGGATCCCGGTGTCTGGGCAGGCCTGACCCACAGAGCACCCATCTCCTCCCCCCCATCCCCATCCCGGTGCCCTGAGCCCCTGTCCCCGGGGCCGGGGCAGAGCCGTGGGTCACCCATTGTCCTGTTTCTGTTTGGTGCTCACTGTGGGACACCAAAAGGTCCTGAGCAGCGGCACGGGCAGCCTGGAGTCCCTGCGGCAGGCGAGCGGCCGGCACGGCGGCGAGCACACCTACATGACGCTCTCACAGCTCTCCAGCTCCCGGGTAAAGCACAAGCCCCCAGCAGCGCCCCACAGGGCAGAGCACCCCCAGCCAGCCTCACCCCCGTTACCCAAAGCAGCTCCCTGCAGGAGCTGGTCCCAGCGGCTTGGAAGAAGCAGGGCAGTGATTTATTTGCACAGCGCGTGTGCCCATAGGATGGAGCTGCTGCTCCCTGGGCTGAAAACAGGTTTGAGAGTGGTGGGAACAGGTTTGAGCTGGGGAGGCACCCCCATGCTGGGCCTCAGTTTGCCTTTCCATAAAGCAGGAGCAGCACAGGTCTCTTTGCAGAGGGGCAAGTGATGCTGGGGCAGACTGATGGCTGCTCCTGGACTGTGCTCATCTCTAGCAGGGTGAGGGCTCTGCCTGGCCTGGCACAGTCAGGTTTGAGGTACTGGGCTGTCCCAAGCCTTCTCTCCACCACCCATAGCCCTTGTATGCCAGGAGAGGCTTCCCAGCTTTCAGTAGCATATTCGCTTACTCCTTGCCTTTCACAGCCCCTGAGCATGGCTACCAGAGATGAGCACCCACCAGCCAGGGCAGGGAAGTGGGGAGCTCTGCTGAGCCCAGGAACCATGTGCTGGCTTAAACCAGACCAAAGCGCAGCTGTCCTGGGGTGTAGCATCGCAGGGATGCACCAGGAGCATCCAGAGATGCTGCACAGACCCCACAAAGAAGGGCTCGGGAAGTTCCTTGCACCCAGCCCCAATAAGCACCGTGGGGCTGCCCCAGCCCAGGGGGGACCCATATGGGAGGAGCAGCACTCTCAGTCTGGATCTCCTCCCCCGGATGCCCTGGCAGGCCCTGCTGTCTCTCTGTGCCGAGGGAATAGCTGCAGCCTCCTCACCGCGTTCCCCAGGGCTGCTGCAAGCGCTTAGCCTAGGGCAGGAGAATAAAACCCTGCTGCAAATGCGAGCTAATCTCAGCAATTTGAGCTGGTGCTGCTCTTCCCACCGAGAGATCTTGCTTAGCTGGTGGATTGCTGAGTTAAATAAAGATGCCAGAGCGCACGCTCTCCGCATGACAGCCCCCTTGCCAGCTGAGCGCCTGCGGGGGCTGAGCGCAGCGAGGAGGCTCAGTGCCCCTCCGGATGGCATTGGGGATCCAGCACCAGGGCTGTGCACGGCCAAGGCATGAGGCACGGAGCCAGCCTGCAGCACTCCCTAAGAGCAGGGACCCACCGCAACCACATACGGCACCAGTAGGGCGGGGAGGCGGATGAGACACAGACCAAATGAGTGCCCCGGGGGCTCGGCGAGAAGAGAGGGAATGAAGGCTTGTACGTGCTGGTCCCTTGCCTAATCTTTGCGCACACAGCTTCCCCCGAGGATAAACGAGTGTGATGAGGAAAGGGGCTGTCAGCGGGGAGGAGCGTGGCCGGTACCCGAGGGGCTGCGAGGGCAGCGGGGCTGTGCTGTGAGTGATGGCAACGGGCTGCGGCCCACGGGTGAGGGCGGGCACCCGGCTCTCATGGCATTCTTGGAGGCTTGATCATGGGCATGCAGCCCCGTGGGCATGGTGTCCTCCCCGCAGCACCCACCAGCTTAGAGCAGGGGTGGGGTGAGCAATAGCAGAGGGAGCAGCAAGCAGTCCAGCTCTCTCATCCTTCCTCCTCTGCTGCACCGGGCAGCTCCTGCCAAGCTCCTACAGGGAGAAACATGTTCTGGGACCTTGGATTGACTGAGGGGCCCTGCAAGCCCTGGTGGCAGCCAGGCTCCTGCATCCCTGCCCAGCTGTGCTCCAGCAAGCTGCCCGCCCACTTCACCAGCACAAGCACGCTTGCACCCTGCTGTCACAGCAGTGCCCGCACCCCCAAGCTCCCAGCACCCCAATGCACTCTGTACTCTTATGCCCTGCACCCCCATGTATCCAAACCACTCCTTCCAGTTTACCTCTGTCCCTGGAGCTGCCGGAGAGCCGGGCTTCCCAAGGCCTCTAGCCAGGGCTGGGAAGAGGCTGTGGGGATCAGTGTGGGGCTGCCAGGGTTGGGGTTACCCTTGGATGCACCCTTAAAACACATGTCGGATGAGCAGCACGCACACTGCTGCCTGCCTCTGCCTGCAGCCTGTTGGCCCCATGCTTTCAGACATCCCTCTTCAGTTTGGGATGCCTGCAATAGCACCTAACCTTGTGCTGTGCACTTCCATGATCGTATTGCCCAGCGGGTGGGTGCATAGGACATGCAGCCACAAGCTCCTGCTCACCCTGCAGCACCGGCACCCACAGGGTGACAGCCTTTCCCTTCTCCAGGAGGAAGAGCTCGTCCGTGAGAGCCGCTTTTACTTGCGAGGCTATGGGCTGAGCCACTGCCTGCAGCCGAAGGATGGGGCTGGGGAGGGCCCCGGCATCTACAGCCCCCCCCCAGCCGGGATGCTGCTGCGGGAAGGGGAGAGCCTCCCCCGGCGCTACATCGACCGGGCCAAGCGCATCGACACCATCTCCAGAGCTGTCTTCCCCTTCACCTTCCTGGTCTTCAATATCTTCTACTGGGTCGTCTACAAAGTGCTGCGCTCAGAGGACATCCACTCTGTGCCCTGAGGGCTGGAAAAGCAGGACTGCCTCTTGGTCTGCCCCCTCAGTGCGCGTGGGTGCCATGAGCTCAGCCAGAACCATGTTTCCCTCTGTCCTGGAGCAGTGGCACAGCCAGGCTGGGCCTCAGAGCCTGAACATATGGCAGCCCCCATGTCCCTTTGGATGCTGGGGCACTGAGGAGGTGGGGACAGCAACCCCAGGTTTGAAAAAGGAACCCTTCCTGACTCCTGCATGGCATCAACTCTGGGCACCCAGGGATGCTGTGCTGCTGGGGAGCCTCAGGTACCCAGGGATGCTGTGCTGCTGGGGAGCCTCAGGTACCCAGGGATGCTGTGGTGCTCAGGAGCCTCAGGTACCCAGGGATGCTGTGCTGCTGGGGAGCCTCAGGTACCCAGGGATGCTGTGCTGCTATGGTACAAGGGAGCTCCTGGTACTCCGGGATGCTGCACAGCTGGTGATCAGCAAACACCACCTTCCAATCAAACACCCCCCACCTCTTCCATGTCAGGCTGCTGCTTCTCCAGGCTGCATCACTGGGCCATGGGCCACAAGCAGCCAGATGAGAAGCTGCAGTTCCCTATGGGTTGCAGGTAAAAGCAAGCAGCACCCCTGCCTGCACCCAGACTGTGTGTGGTGCTGGCTATGGCCCCATAGCCCCCAGTCCATCAACAGACAGGCCCCCAGCCAGCTCCAGCACACAGTGCAGTGGGTCAGGGATGCTTCCTTCCCTGCAGAGTCCAAGGCTGCCAATGGCTGTGGCAGGGCTGCGGCAGGGACACTGAGCAGGAGGCTCCGTTTCTGCTGGGAAAACACCAGCCCTGGGGCAGCAGTAGGGGAGCCTGAGGTCTCGCTGATGGTGAAGGGGCACAGATGGCCGTTGCAGCTGCTGATGGGTACCACTTGGCACCAGAGAGCTGGCACTGCACTGCCTGCAGGGTAGGGCCCACCGCCCATCTGATGATGGGATGAAAGTAATGGGGATAGCTGCAGCAGTGCCTCTGGAGGAATAGTGAGTGGTGGCACCCCCAGACCGCTGCATTCCCGCAGCCCCACGGTGCCAGCAGAGAGCCTGAGGTGAAAACTGCTTCGTTCCCCTGCTTCCTCTACACACTGGTGCTCGGGTGCAGCATTCCCTGGGCAGGTTCGCCCCTGCTGCTCCTCCACTGGAGAGGAGAGCATCTGAAACCTCGACAAGACAAGCTCAGCAAGGCTGCCAGCCCTCCAGACCTGGATATCCTTCATGCTTAGCAGGAAATAAAAGCAGTAGGTGATGTTTATGTAGGTCCTACAGACAGAAATGTGTTGATGCTCTCCTTTGCCCCTGCTCACGGACAGCCTGGGCAGACCCGCATCCCGGCAGGGTCTGTCCCTCCACGGCCCCAAGTGCAGGAGAGGGCCCAGGGTCTTGCAGGCAGGTCAGCATGGAAATGGGATTCACCCTTTTCCTTGGAGGCTGTACTATGGCATGGCGAGGGCCCCAGTGACCTAACTGTGATGGCAAAAGGGGCTCTGTGGGGCAGGGGGACATGGGTAGGAGGCCAGCACTGCTTGAGAAGCCATACCTGGACAGAAACCCCCACCACGGCCATTAGGGACCCCGCTCCTCGGGCAGGCATCACCCTCTCCCTGCATGACTTCAGGGAGCAAAGGCTCCCCCCCCTCACTCCCTCAACCCCTCAGTCCCAGCTGCATGCACCCATTTCACAGACAGGACAAGCAGAGGAGAACCAGCCCAGGCCATGCCCAGGACCCACCAGGATGGGCTGAGCCAGCTCCATCCATCCCATTGCCACCGCTGTGCATGCCGTCATGGGGGTCACCGTGGGGCTGCACTGTGTGTCCGGGCCAGGCTTTCGAGCCTTGGTTTTGGGGAGAGGCCCCATTTGGAGGTGGAGGAAGGGGTGCACCTCTTGTCCTTGGCTCACTCAGCCCTGGCCCCCCCAAGGCAGTGCTGAGCAGAGGTGCCAGCGGGCACCCAGCACCCGCAAGCACTGGCAGCCCATCCACTCTCCAGAAGCGGTGGGTTTTTAAACAGCATCAACCTTCCTACATACAGACATGAATAAATAAAGCCTTTCTGGGATTTTCAGTGGTGTGCTGGGGGGTTGTGTCTGCCAAGGACCCCGCGGCCAGCTCCAGCATCCCTCACGTGTGGGGGGGATGCAGGGATGAAGGCACAACAGCCCTGTGGGGACAGCCCTGCAGTTACACCCAGATGTTGTTATTACACCCAGCTACCCTCGCCTCCACACGTGTCCTTTCTGACATGGTGGTGACTGTCGGGTTTTATCTCACTCATAGGAGATGCCACAGAGGTGGGCAGGAGCCCCCCGTGAATTCTTACTCCCAAACCCCCTCACTTCCCCCCCAGCGCCAGCTCTGTGGGGTGCTTCCGCAGCTCTTTTCACCCTGACCAGGGGACAGGACCCACAACGGGGCAGATGTGGGGCTGGAAGGGGGGCTCCAGCTCCACACTGGAGCTCAGACACCCAGACACGGGCGAGCACCCCAAGGGCTGAACCTCCCTGCACGGCCCCTTAGTGCCAGCCTGCTGGGCAGGCGCCAGCCTTACAGCGCTGCCAGCTGTGCTGGGGGGGGGGCTTACGCCAGCCCCACAGTGCCCCCAGTGCCACCCGGGGCCGGCGCTGTTGTCCCCAGCTGGCGCAGGGGCAGGCAGAGCCCGCAGCTGAGGGCTGCGCTCCCGAGCAAGCATCAATCTCCCTCTGTCCTCCCAGCCAAGCGGCTCTGTTGGTACCTCGCAGCCCTGTCGCCCGGCCTGGGCTCTGCTGGGGCAAGGAGCAGAGAAAGCAAGGTGCACCCATGGTGGTGTTCTCTAAATGGGACAAACTAACCCCCCCCCCATGAGGTCTGGGTGCTGCACCCACCCCAGACATCGAGAGGATGCAGCTGAGAGGACCAGCGTGGTGTGCCAGTTTCTGCACTCTCTGCTCGCCTTTCTCTTCCTTACCAAACAGGTCTGGGCAGCCTGCATCTGTTTGGAGATAAGTGCTGGGGTCTGCCCCTAAGCCACCTGGCTCTGGGAATTGGCACCTCCTGGGAAATGGAAGTGGCAGAACACCCTTTTCCTTAAGATAAAGCCCCTCGGTAGGGCTGCCAGTGCCCTCCAGCACACAGCGCCAGCAGATCCCTGCGGACAGCAGCTGTGCCCAGGCTGGAGGTGCTGAGCCCCAAGCCCTCCTGCAGGTCACAGCAAGGCCAGAGGCCAACTCAGGTAGTTCTGTCCCCTACCTTTGGATGGATTTGACTTTCCATTTCCTGCCCGAGGATGTGCACTGGGGACACATCCCAGCCACCATGGGAAGCAGCTGTGGCACGGGACCAACACCCCTGGCCAGGTTAATGGCTGGTTTAAATAGAAGTTAATGGAGTTCCAGCAGGGTAACGGGACTCCCAGACAGTAAAATGAGCATCATCAGCTTCCTGACAGCAGCATGCCCAGTGCTGGGTGGCCACAGGCACACACACAGGTTTGGGCAGCATGGCCCCTCATCAGCCCCAAGGGCTCCCTGGGGCACCTGCATGGGGCCAAGGAATCACAGATTGGTTTGGGTCGAAAGGGACCTTAGAGCTCCCCCAGCTCCAACCCTGCCATGAGCAGGACACCTTCCACTAGAGCAGCTTGCTCCAAGCCCTGTCCAGCCTGGCCTCGAACACTGATGCCAGCCAGGCTCCCCTGCCAACCACAGAGGGTCTGATCCTGCTGGAGCCAAGCTCTGCTGCTGAGCTTGGAGGCACGGCAATGCCAAACCTTTCCCCTCCCTCAGCAGGGGCTCCAGCCCTGTCCGCAATCCACCCCATCCACATGGACCGATGCCTGCTGATGCTGTGTGGGACAGCAGGTTTGGAGCCCAGCGAGTTCCCTGCAGCAAGAAGAGCAGCAGGTTACCAGGGCTCTGAGCACCCCATGCCCTTCACACACTGCCCAGGTTTGGGTTTTCTAAAGGCAAACACCAAGCTCCAAAGTCAGCAACGAGTCCTGAGCGAGCCAGGGACAGTGAGTAGCAAGTGAAGCACCAGGAGCTGCACTGGCAGCGCGTGCCGCTGCAAGCCGGTCATGCCATAAAGCATGGGGCCCTCACAGGACCTTGGAGACGCTGTGGGTCAGGATCCATCCACCACAGGGAAGGTGCGGGTGTGGGGCACTCACACAGTGCGGCTGTGCCGGCCCCGAGCCCTCAGCACAGCTTTGCCAGTGCTGTCCCCCGGGCAGAGGAGCCCCAGGAGCCAAAGGGCACTTTGCCCCAGCACAGCCCTGCCACCTAAGCAGGAGCATCACCGCAGCCCATCACCTCCACCAGCGCCCTGCTAAACCCCACAGCCACATCCACACCCCTGGCATTGCTCTGGGGCCAGCCTGCACATACACAGGCCATGGGGCACCCCACGTGCTCCCCAGCCCAGCGGGTGTTCGTGAGACAGGTACCTCCATGGGCAGGCAGGACCCCTGGGAAGGGGCAGTGAGGGAAGGCTGGAAGGTGGAAACCAGCAGGGATCAGCCCTGCAGTGCTCCTAAACTGTGGGATAGGGGAATATGGGAAAACTGCATGGCTCTGGGCTGTGGTTTTACACAAGAAAAAACAAAGCAATGAGGTTTTCCAGCCCCAGAGTGGGCTGGTTTTGGCCGACTCGGAGAAGCCTCTGCGCTTCAGCCCCTCAAGGGGCAGGGGGAGGACCCCAACACTGAAACAAGGAGCAATTATCAAACCACGGGCTCTGAAGAGCTTTTGTTCCCTGGCTGCTGCAGCGCAGGGATCGGAGGACACCTAGCGAAGTGCCTCGATGGCCTCACACACCAGCGGCACCCAGAGGCCAAAGATGGGGCAGCCCCGGCCCTGCAGCGGCCGCATCCTGCTCCCATCTTCCTGCTGGGGCAGGAACCGCGATGAGAGCTCCAGCAGGGCTGCAGGGGCTGATCCAGCCCTGGGGGAGATCCACAGGGGTGAAGAATCAGCTCCTTTCCCATTTTCCATTGCTCTCACTGCTGCCCTGGCAGTGAGAGCCTCCATGCTCCCAATAGGCCACACGTGCTGCTGCTGTGTGAATCCTACAAACACAAGCATTAAATCTGGGGCTCATCTCAGAAACGCTGACGGGGATGCAGGTGCCCCTTACAGCTTCCCGAGTCCTGCTGACACCAGCACTGCCCAGTCCCAGAGGTTCACATCTCAACTCCCAGTCAAGCTGATTGTACCAGTGCAAATAGGCCAATGCCCAGTTACTATGATTTGCATGAAGAGAGACCATAGTCTTTGAGTGCAAAGATCTGCATGGGCACAGGCACCCCAGGCAGATGTGCTGAATCCCACCCTGCAGGGATCCCACAAGCAGGCAGAGCAGCAGCAAACAGCCTGGCCATACCCATTACCCCATGCATCAGCCTCTTGCCAGTGCTGGATAGCTTCAGTCTGACCCTTGTATCCCTGCAAGAGGAGATCCAAGCTCTGCAGAGACCCCATTCCCCTTCATTACCTCCCAATTTGCAGCACCATAAACCACCCTGAGCTCATGGCAGAGACCCCTCCAGCCCCTCAGTGCAGCCAGAGCACTGGAGAGCCCTGTGCTCTGACACCTCCCCCAGCCAGGCTGCTGTCTGCAGAAACACTGTGACACCAAAGCCTTCCTCCTCCGCTGGTGCTGGACAAGCTGCCATGGTTAGCTCAAGGTAGGAGGCAAAGCAAGGAAGACGAACCCAGCAGTGTGTCTCGGAGGGGTGAAGGCAGTTTGGGGGCAGCAGTGCCTACCACGCACACTAAGAAGAAACAGTTTATATCTTTATTATGTGTACACCCATTATAATTCCACGGAACGCCCACTCAATACTTGTTACCCGCTGTGTATGGTAATCGGGGTAGATAAAACTGGGCTGCAGGCAGGGTGAATTTTGAGGAGTGGTCTCTGGAGGTCATAGATGGTCGTTTGGGGAGAAATACCCCCACTCATTGTATCCTCTGATGGAAACGCATTAGTTAAGGACATCGGGATGTGTGTTTAGTCCTGCCAATTAACAACACGTTCTCACTTGGTCTAATTTACAACCCCGAGAGGCCCCCCCAGTTGTTTTCTTCTGCAGCCATTTACCAGTTTCTCCGTCCAAGTCCATGTGCAGTGAAACACCGATGCAATTCGGTACCAACCGAAACCGGATTTAACCCAGTATCACCGCACTGCGCCGGGCACCGGATCAGCACTTCACCTTCCTCATGTGACCGCCACTCCACATGACTCCCGGATAGGGGGCGGGCCGCGGTGCGACGCGCTCCCCCGTGATTGGCGGGAAGGCGGCGGCGCCGCGGGGCGATTGGCTGTCGGGATAGCGCGTCACCGCGGTGGCGGCGGCGGTGGCGGCGATGGCGGCGGTGCGGCGGGCGCTGCGCTGGGCGCTGCTGTCAGCCGCGGCCGTGGCGGCGGTGCTGGCGCTGGACAACGGGCTGGCGCGGACGCCGCCGATGGGCTGGCTGCACTGGGAGCGCTTCCTCTGCGGCACCGACTGCGGCACCGACCCGCACCGCTGCGTCAGGTACCGCCGGCCGGGTGCCCCCCGGGAGCGCCGGTACCCGCACCGGGGGGTCAGGGCAGGGGGCAGCGGCACAGTGCGGTGCTCTGCGGGCTTAGCCCGGTGTGTTCCCTCACTCCTCCGCAGTTCCACCCTGCCCCTTGGGGAGTCATAGAATGGTTTGGGTTGGAAGGGACCTTAAGATCACCCGGTTCCAAACCCGTGCCATGGATTTGTGGTATCGATGCTTGACGTGTGGCTGCCACGTTCTCTGCTTTCGTTCCCCGTGCCCAGCGAGCGGCTCTTTGTGGAGATGGCCGATGTGATGGTTGCTGAGGGCTGGAGGGACGCGGGCTATGAGTTCATCTGCATTGATGACTGCTGGATGGCCCCGACGCGGGATGAGCACGGCAGGCTCCAGGCTGACCCAAAGCGGTTCCCCAGCGGGATCCGCAAGCTGGCTGACTACGTGAGTGCCACCCGTCACGGTGCCCGCAGTGATGGCAGGCAGGGACCTGACCTGCAGCCGTGCTGGGAGCAGGGGAGGAGAGGGAAGGCGGGATGGGGAATGGCTGTGTAGCTGCTGAGGTAAACCCCTGCCTGACAGGGTGGGGTTTGCTTCACTCCCTCCTGCCTTACAACTGCACCATCCCCAATTCTCTTTCTGTCTGCAAGCGCAGGTACACTCCAAGGGTCTCAAGCTGGGAATCTACAGCGATGTTGGGAACAAGACATGTGCTGGCTTCCCTGGCAGCTACAACCACTATGACCTGGATGCCCAAACTTTTGCCTCCTGGGGCGTGGACCTGTTGAAGTTTGACGGCTGCAACTCTGACACGCTGGAGCTGCTGGCAGAAGGTAGGCACGGGCTCAAGGCTGCAGTGCACCACAGGGTGGGAATGTTCTGCAGGCAGCAGCAATTCCAGGCCCAGGGTGGGCTTCAGGGAGTTGCTTTTCCCTGAGTATACTCATTTGAGGAATATGCTTAAAGAAGCAGGTATGAGACTTTGTTCCAAGGTAGTGAGTGTTGCTGGCGCTAGTGTTTTTTACCTGCTTGCCCTCCTGGGGGCTCTCTCTGCAGAATGCTGCCTCAGCTCTAAGCACAGCAAAGGCTTTGACCTTCTGTGGTGCTCTTACTGGAAAGCTCAGAATGTTCCACACACTTAACCCTTAATCCTTTGCTGAGGCCGTGCCAGTGCAGAACAGCTTGAAGCAAGAGCAGCATGTGTCAGCCATAAAGAGGGCAGTTACCAGGGCTTTTAACAGGAGAGAAAAAAAGAAAGGGAATTCTGGCATTAAGCTCCTGATGGAGTTTTGATTTTAAAGCCCGGCAGTGCGAATCCTAGTGCAGAAGTTATTTGCACATGGGCTGGCAAGTCAGCAGCTGAAAGCTCCATAGCTCAGTGCTGAGGGGGCTTGGTACAGACTTCCTGCAAGCACAGGCAAATCCAGTGCCACAGGAGCAGGTTTGTGGGAAGCGTGGTGCGACTTGGAACATGGTTTTCTTCCGACCGCGCTCTCACTGCTGTCACAGTCAGCACCATGGTGCTTGGCAGCAGGAATCCTGCACGCTCTGCCTGGCAGGGAGAACCTGCCCAATTAACAATCCCATAGGAAGCAGTTAGTGGGGCATATGCCAGCTGCTGCAGCCAGGAGCACAGCTCAGCAGCATGACAGCTGAGCTCAAAGCATTTGTTGGATCAGATGTAACCAAGGTACAATCCAGTTGTATTGAAGCAGTTCCAGGGGAGAGAGCAAACTTTTCATTCCCTCCGTTCTGATTAAAAAGGACTTAACAGGGCTGTCTGGGGACAAAGACAGGAAAAAGGAGTGGTTTTGCATTCCTGCTCAGTCCATATGGTACAAGTGCCTCATAAGAACATACTCCGGCAAGATTAACCCAGTGCAGCTGTACCCAGCAGTTTGACAGATACCTACTTGTATTTCCCAGGTATCTATAGAGTTAAAAAAAGCCTTACAGCAAAACCCCAGCCTCTTCTCATGGCTGGATGTACAGAGATCAACAGTCTCAGAGCAATAAGCCTGCCCGTGACCTGTAGCAAAGCTGTGAAGGAGCTCACCTGTCCTTGGAAGGCTGCAGACTATAAGCTCCCCTGTCTCCCCTGGGGTGTTCCTGCTGCAATGTGTTCAGCCTTGATTTAGCAAGAGTTGGACTGAAACCTGAACCTGTAATGTTAGATTAAGTTCCTCTGTTTGACCGAGGAGATTGTGTAACCTCTGTCTGTCCTCTTCCTTTAGGTTACAGACGCATGTCTCTGGCCCTGAACAGGACTGGAAGGAGCATTGTGTATTCCTGTGAGTGGCCTTTCTATCTGAGGCCCATGAAGCAGGTAAGGAATGTTTTTCAAGGCTTATCCTGGAAGAAATTAACCATTAAGAGTGCAGAACAGCCTCCTGAGAAACTTGTTGCCCATCTGACAGAGAACAAGACTGTAAAGTGTAGGAAAACCATGTTTTCCTCTAGAGCCCTGAAGGATACCTGAGGCAAGTCATTACTCTGCTGAATTCAGTAGGATCCTGCAGCATGAAGGCACAGCCCAGTTGGAGCATGCCAGAGAGCACAGCAACATCCATCTGCTTTGTCTCCAAGGAGCCAAACACAAAAACACTGGTAGTGCAGACACAGCTAGCAGATAGTTTGGTGTTATTCCTTCTGGACAGAGTGGATGGAATAAGTGTAAGGACTCAGCCATACCATCACCTCTGGGGACCAGGAAAGAGACTTTAGGAAAGCTTATTCAACAGGAATTTTCCACACTGTTTACCAACAGATTTCTGCCACCCAGGATCCATGAGAGACTCTCCACCCATAGCTGGCTTCCCCTGTGCCACCATGACAGGATGGTGCCATTCCCTCCTAATTAATGCATTAGTCACCAAAGGGTGTAAACCCAAGAAGTGACCGTAATTACGGGGATGTCACAGTTTAATCCCACTGGCCTCATCATACCTTCAGTGAAAGAGTGCTCAAAGGAATTTTCTAACAGACCTGGATGGCCACAACTGTTCTCCCAAGAGAGGCAATAGTGTTGCCTGGAGCATGGCAGCCTGGAATTAGTGGGCATAAGGCATCCTAGGGAACCAACTAGATCATCCAGATGGTTGCTGATGTGTTATCATAGTTCTTCCCCAAATTATCCCTCATCCGGTCTAGCCTTGTGTATGGTCTTGTACAGTCAGGCTCTGTGGCTAATCACACTCATTGTTTTGGCAGCCCAATTACACAGAGATCAAACAGTACTGCAATCACTGGAGGAACTTTTTTGACGTCTATGATTCCTGGAGCAGCATCAAGAGTATCTTGGACTGGACAGCACTTCACCAGGACAGCATTGTGAAGATAGCTGGGCCAGGGGGCTGGAACGATCCTGACATGGCAAGTAGAGCAACACCCACCTCAGGTGTAAGCTGAGAGGGATGGGAAGGGAGAAACATTGAGGTGAAGGGCTGACAGGGCTCCAGGATCAGGAGCTTGATGAGAGCACCCCTGGCTGGAAAGGGAAACAGAACTACAGCTACAGATAGCACCAAGGAAGTGCTGTCTATGTCATGCAGCCTCAGCAAGCAGTGTGGCAGTGGGAAGGTCTCTGAAGTGCTCATCTCCCACTAGAGGGAATCCCCTGCATTGTAAGGAAGGAGTAGCTGCATCCAAAAGCAGATTCTGAAATGCTGCCTAGCAAGTTGAGGATCCTTCTTTCCTTGTACCAGTGGTTCATCCTGAATTGCCCCAGTACCTGTGCCGTGCCTTGCCTTTCCCAACCTGCTTCTGGCACTCAAGCTATCAAACCAGTTCCCAAACAGGGGTCCCACCCTCAGCATCCGGCCATTTACCAGTGCTTGTGTTGGTGGCCCAGTTTCTCCTAGACAAGCAGTGTTACCAGGTGCTTTTGTGTTCTTGTCACAGCTGGTGATTGGAAACTTTGGGCTGAGCTGGGACCAGGCAGTGACTCAAATGGCCATGTGGGCTATCATGGCAGCTCCCCTCTTCATGTCCAACGACCTGCGGCACATTAGTCCTGAGGCCAAGTGGCTGCTCCAGAACAAAGAGGTGATCGCCATCAACCAGGATCCGCTGGGCAAGCAGGGATACCAGATCACCAAGGTACAGCAGGAAGCCACTCTCCTCATAAAGGGGATACATTGGGTTATAGGGGAGTGCTAGGATTTGGGAACAGGAGCCAAGTGAGCCCACTCATTCCTGAAGCCTTCTTATTCAGGCATGAAGAGCATCAGTTCTGCCTCCCCTGACACGTTTATTTTCTCCTTTGCAGGACAAGAACTTTGAGCTGTGGGAGCGGCCCCTGTCTGGCCGAGCCTATGCTGTGGCAGTGCTGAACCAGCAGGAGATTGGGGGACCCCGAAACTTCACCTTCCCCCTCACCTTCCTTGGCAATGGGCTGGCCTGCAACCCAGCGTGCTCCGTGTGGCAGGTCCTGCCAGCCAGCAGGGACTGCGGGGTGTACAGCTGGGTGTCCTCCCTGAGCGTGGAGGTCAACCCGACAGGCACTGTGCTGCTCAAAGTAGTGGCACTATAGGAGGCACAAAAACAATCTCTTTGTAAGCGTCAGGCTCTTTCTAAACTTCTTGTCAAAAGAAGTGGGGTGGGTGCCTTTGTTCTCTCCTCAGGCATTTGCTACTCAAGTGCTTCTATGTGGACTTTAAACCTTCAGCCTAAGGTGACAAATACGTATTGCTCCATTACCAGGAGGTAACAGAGAAAGGGGTGCTGCTTCTCTTGTTTACCCTTTCCCTGGCATCTCACCCACTTAACTCTTTCCCTAAGGAACTTTAAGGACTGTGGCAGGGCAGCAACTGGTCATATCCACTGCCACTACAAAGGAAATGCAGAGGACACATGCAGCATCTTACAGCTCCTTGAGCATTTCAGGGACAACAGGGAAACACCCTGGCTGCCTTGCTCTTGCTTTGCCAGGCTGGAGCACACAGCCCAGGAACAAGAAACCCAACACTCCCTTCAGAGCTTGGACGTCTACCTTCTGACCACTCAGGGACTGGCCTAAATCACTGCACTTCTTAGCAACTGCTTTCTTAACAGCTGCCTGCTTAGTATGCATGTGTGTAAGTATGTCTTGGGACTCAGCTGTTGGAGGTTTCTCCTTACCCCAGGAGTCTTTCCTTCACCAGTGATGGGACACTTCCCTTTACATGACAAGTCCTTCATAATACAATTGAGATCCTGTCATGTGAGCTGCCTCCAAGAAGTACCTGTGTGCTTGCTTTCCACTGCTGCAGTAACCTTTAGGTTCAATAACACAGGTCCCTCAGACAGGAAATGGATAATCACTTACGCAACCATCATGTGTATGTTCTCTTCTGACTACTGCACAATCAGGGTATACTGATTTGTTCTTACTTCTGTGATTAAGCACTTTGATTAAAATATCCCTTTAAAAGGCCAAGCTTTTTCTTAGTTCCACTATACAGGGGTGCAGCTCAGTATCTGAAATTAAACCAGGTTTTAGATGACAGCACAGTTGTTCCAGTCACTAGGTTCTTGTAGGATTTGTAAGGATTTACTACAAAGAACACTCAGTAAAGCTGACACAGTGCAGCCATACAGTCCCTGTTGCAGGCAGAGGTAACACTGAGAAGCCACTGGTGCAAAATCCATCAGAACCTCAGGCTCTACACACATTCTAAAACAGCTCTTGGGGAAGACAGGAGATTCCAGCCATTGGCAGGGCTTTTGGATAACACCTGTTCACTTACTAAGCAGCTCTGCAAGCAATACCTTCCTGCTGGGATGATGTAGTTGCGAGTCCAATCTCACCACCAAGAGAAAATACAAAACCAGATCACTTCCAAATACTTTAATATGGTCCATAACAACAAGCAGGTTAGAACTGGATCACCTGGCCCTGTAAGAATGAAGAGATGGAGTAAGTTCATTCACCACTGAATGCTGTCACCCTCATCCACCCCATGGTACACAAACCTACCTTTCTCTTCTTGTCTCCTCCCAGCTCAAAGTGCTTGCACCTCTTAATTGCCAGCATCCTCTTGGACCTGCAGTTGGGCTCCACACACTCCAGCCTCAGCACAATCTTCTTTGTAGTCTTAGCCTGGGACGAGAGGAGCAGAGTGTATCAATGCACAACATGTCCACAAGCAAACAAAGTGCTGCTGTCAGGAAAAGCATGCTATCTGCACTCCTGTAGATTCAGCAGCTTGTTCTCACAGTGCAGATAAAAAGACTACCAACAGAGTTAGGCTCCCTCCATTAAAAACCAGGCAGAACCATAAGGACCAGTACAGGAATACTGGACTGGTACCTTCACGATGAAGAACACTGGCTCAGTGGGGCAGGGCTGGCTCCTGCAGAGCTCAGGCACACCCCAAGGCCATGCCAGTGAACACACTGGAAACACACACTTTACAGTGTGGGAGAACAGACCGACAGCACTCGGGGAATTCAGCAGAATCCCGGGCAGAGATACATCTGGAAGCAGCACCAACCTTCCTCAGAAAGCAAATGTGCCCAGTGCAGACCCGCAGCTACTGACAAGTTGGATGAAACCCACACATACAGAGGGAAGAACCCAAAGCTGCCATAGCAGCTGCACAGAGCTGTAATCACCAGTTACCAGCTTCGCCCAATCACCCATATCACACTGACTAGAAAGAAACAGGAATGGGGATGGCAGGGTATAGCAGCAGAGTGCCAGACTATGAGCAGCACAGCTGCTCTGTGTACCTCTTGCAGCAGCATTTTCTGCAAGGTCTCCCTACTTCCTGACAGAAAATCAACTTGGGGAATTGCTGTCTCATTTTCTTCTTGCTAGAAGACTTCCTGAACATCTCCAGCACAACACCAGACTTTCCAGCAATGAGCCAAGCAGCTTAGTAAGTAACTGAACAGTTAAAACAAAAACTATAGCAAATCAGCCATTGGGTTCTGCTGCCCTGCTGCAAATACCACAGCTCTTGGGCCCCTACAACTCCCTGGCAGGAGGTACATAGAGGCACAGAAGGAAATCAGGCAAGACCACAGCTCCAAGTATCCACACACTGCAAAGGACAGAGAATGACAGCAGCAGGTCCCTGCAGCTCATCTGTAACAGAACACATTGCTGCTCTGAAACTCTTGGGGAAGGCTTAACACAGCAGCTCTCTTGTACTGGCTCAATGATAGGGATTTCCCTAGAGCCAGAAGACTGCAAGAAAACCGTGTTGTGTCCCGCGGTGCCCCACGACATGCACATGCTTTGCTTCTACCATACCCTTGCACTGACAGCACCATCACTGCGCAGAGCCTCACAAACCCGGCAGAGTTTCAATGAGAAACTACTGCCACTCCAAGACCACAAGGAGAGCAAGCAGCAGTCTCCCTTTCCCCTAGCTGTACTGGCAAGCAATGAAGAAAACACTCCTTTCATTAAAAGCATCACTCCCAGTAAGACCTTGCTCCCCTCCAGCATCAAGGCTCCCTGCACAACCTGCTGTGCGAACACATGCTACATCGTCACTCCTGAAAACAACAGCAGCAGGGATTACGTGGATGGGCAATTTACACTCCCCGGACACCACTACCCACAGAGCTGCCATAACATGGCTTGAGCACAGGACCAGCACAAGGCTGCAGCATCCCTCTTCAACTGGTATGTGGATTACCATGAACGCTTCAGGTCCTCCTTCCAGAAGCAGCACTCACCTTCTTGCGGAAAATGGGCTTAGTCTGCCCCCCGTAGCCGCTCTGCTTCCTATCGTAGCGTCTTTTCCCTACGGGCAGAAATGGTTCTTTAGGCAACGACTCGAGACACTGCACAAAGCACAGCTGCCGCTCGCCAACCCTTAGCAGAACTCGGTCTGCAGCGGCACCCCAGACCAGAAGCAATACCCTCCTCTCCCACAGCCGTCACCCCGGCGTGGGACGTGGCCACCCGGGTCCCACACAACCTCCCTCAAGCCGTGCCCCCAGGCCTACCCTGGGCGTAGAGCGAGTCCTTCCCCTTCTTGTACTGGGTGACTTTGTGCGGCTGGTGCTTGCCGCACTTCTTGCAGTAGGTCCGGCGGGTTTTCGGGACGTTCACCTGCAGGGGACGGGGGAACGGCTCAGGGCGTGCAGCGCAGCCACCGACGCACCTCAGCCCGGCCGCCCTTCCCCTGCCCTCGGTTAGGCCCTGCGCCCTCACCCCGGACCTACGACCTCTCCCCGCCGCCCTAACCCGCCCTAACCGCTGGCCGAGCACCCCCCGCAGCGGCGGGCGCCTCGGGCGGCCGGAGGGAGCCGCCTCCGGGGCGGATGGCAGCGGATAGAACCGGGCCCGCTGCGGCCGGCACTCACCATCTTGCCGGCTGCAGCCCGAAGAGGAGGAGCAGCCGGGAAGCGGAAGCGGATGGGAGTAGTGAACTACGGAGAGGAGGAGCGCAGGGAGCGCGAGTGGCGCCGCCTTGCGGCGGGAGGAGAGCGGGGCAGGGGGACTGAGGGTGCGAGGTGCGGCGGAGTTGGGGTGCGGAGGGTGGCCGGGGGGGTGCGGAGGGTTGCGGGTCCATGGGGGTGACCCTGTGCGATGCACTCAGTGCGGCACGTGGAGGGGGGCACATGGAGCTGCCCTGCAGCGCGGCCCCGTGCCATGTGGGTGCCCCTCGTCCCCTCGATGCGCAGCACCCGCAGCCCCGGCCGGCCCAGGAGGAAACACAGCTGCTGCTTTGAGTCAGAGAGCAGGGAAAGGGGAACTGAAAGGGTGGGGTTGGTCGGGCCCGTCCTTCCTCCCTGTGCCACCGACCCCGCTGCGTGTCCCTGCCGCCACAGCCACCCCGACCGGCCCCGTCGGGCCACCCCGGGCGGGCGCGGGCAGCGGGCACGGCGGGACCCCTGCGGGCCGGAGCGGCGGCGGGAGGGCCGGGTGAGTGCGGAGGGGACCCGGGGCTTCGCGTGAGGTGTGGGGACAGCGCTGGAACACGAGGGTGGCGGTGCCCTGCTGCCAGTGCGGGGAGGAGGGAGCCGTGCGGTGCCTGCTTGTGGCCTCGCACCTCTGTCCTGGGCACCGGCCGCATGCTGGCAAGCAGCGGGTGAGCTGGGAAGGCTCAGCCTTGTCCCACAGCCTGGACGGGTGCTCTGGGGCTGCAGTGGAGCATGGGATCAGGGTGGTGTGTGTGCTATGGACACCAACGGTGCTCCAGAGCATGGGATCACGGTGGTGTGTGTGCTATGGACCCCACTGGTGCTGCAGAGCATGGGATCACGGTGGTGTGTGTGCTATGGACCCCACTGGTGCTGCAGAGCATGGGATCACGGTGGTGTGTGTGCTATGGACCCCACTGGTGCTCCAGAGCATGGGATCACGGTGGTGTGTGTGCTATGGACACCAGTGGTGCTGCAGAGCAGGGGATCAGGGTGGTGTGTGTGCTATGGACACCAGTGGTGCTGCAGAGCAGGGGATCAGGGTGGTGTGTGTGCTATGGACCCCAGTGGGGCTCCAGAGCATGGGATCAGGGTGGTGTGTGTGCTATGGACACCAACGGTGCTCCAGAGCATGGAATCAGGGTGAGGGATGAGTGCCAGGGACCCAGCGGTGCAGCAGAGCAGGGGGTCGTGGTGCTGGCAGTGCCTTTGAGCACTCTTTGCCCGTGCATTTTGCAGTAGATGCTGCTGCTGGAGCGCAGCTCTGGCTTTGTTCCCGAGCCTGTCCTGCGCAGGAGATTCCTTCCTCTTCATTGTTGTCACCCTCCAGGCTGCACCTCACGCACGGGGGCTGTGGCGTTTGTCGTTCGCAGACACGCTGTCACCCTTCCCACTTGCTCTGGGTATGCCAGCCCCCATCAAAGAGTGGTGGCCAAGCACTCCTTAGCAGGACGTGTGCAGGGGCCATGGTGGGGCACAGCACCTGCAGTGTGTGCCGGGCCTGGCGGTGGGGTCAGAGCACGCTTGGCTGGGGTGTGACAGCGGCAGGAAGTCACACGCGCTGGGGACAAACACAGGACATGCTTCCAGCCACCCACTTGCCACCTCTGCTTTGTCACAGCGCAGCAGCAGTGGCTGCAGGGTGAGTCCCAAAGGGAACCCACCACCCCCAGGGACAGGCATGGACAGAGCAGCACGGGTGGCAGAGCCAGGGACAGGGAGGCTGTGCCATGCTGGGGCAGAAGAGCCCTGAGATACCCATGTCAGCACTGCCCCAGAGGACACGGGATGTGTCCCATCTGCCTGGCACTGCTGGTGCTGACCCTGCTCTGTGAATCAAGGCAAAGCTTCTGGAGACCCAGCACTGCAGATGGGATGGGATGGAGCCCAAAGGCTGCTCTGCTCAGCCCCTGTGGCTGTGTCGGGGGGATGCATGATGGCAGCCACATTTTATAGCTAGGGAAACTGAGGCATGGGGCTACAGGGGGATGCTGGGGTCACTCTGGGCTTGCCCACCACCTTGCTAGTAGCAACCCCAGCCACTTGCCCTGTGCTCAGCAGGGACCCCAGTTCCCTTCTCCCCAGGCTTGAATCTGCCAGTGGAGGCTGCTGAGTTTTATAAAGAACTCTCAACAACTCATTGCTTAAGGGGGTTTTGCTTTATTTTGTTTTTTAAACCACCCAGACAAGCAGAAAAGGCCCATGAGGGCCACAAGGGTAGGGAAAGGGGATGCTAGGAGCAGGAACCCTGCTTGTTCACGGTCTTTCTGGCTATAGCCACTGCAGCGAGGCAGGATTGCAGGATCTGCGCTGGAAGGGTCTGGGCATCACCAGTGCATGGGGGAACACCCCTGCTCCTGCCCCCCAGGCTGGGCATGCCCCAGAGAGTGGCACAGCTATGGGGACCAGGTCCTGGCATATTTGGTCCCAACCTGGTGCCTCTCGTGGCCGAGCCAATGCCTCCTGTGTGAGGGGAAGGGACGTGCTGCCTGGCTGGGTAGCAGGGAGTTCAACCCCTGGCTCCAGCTCTCCTCTGAGCCTGCCCTAGAGAAGATGAGGGCAGCGGGGAGGGAAACTGCTTCTCCTGGGATACCCTCTAAAGCTGTGTTTGTAGGAGCAAACAGGAAGAAGGTGGAGGTGAAGCAGGAGCAAGGCATGTAGATGGGCAGGGCAGGAGACATGGATGTGGGCTCCAGGTCACAGTTCAGCAGTGGCCCCGTGTAGCTCATGAACTCCCTGATACATCCAGTCTGGAATGAAGCATTGGTTACAGCCCTCAGAGAAGCCCAGAGCTCTGTGGGGTGTTGGAACCATCTGGATGCCACAGTGCAGCATGAAAGGGTACAGGATGCTCCAAGAGATGGGCCAAGGGCAGAGTTCCAGCCGCCCTGGAGGCAGGGCAGCAGTGGAATGCAGTGCTCTGAATTGAGCCCTTTTCTGCCTGGCCCATCTCTGGAGAGGCTCAAGGGAAGAGCTTTGCTGAGGAGGGCTGGGGAAGGATCAAACCCCTCTGGTTGCTGGCTGGAGGCATCCCTTCAAGCCTGGAGGAGGAGGAATGTTGAGCATCATCCTTGCTCTCCTGCAGGCTCCATGCACACAGAGGGGAAGGATGCCTTTAGGCCTACTCTGTGCTCTCAGCAGCTATTTGAGGCCAGGACCTACCCACAAGTTTCAGGGACTGGTCTCTCCACAGAGGCAGTTCAGCACGTCCCTGCACAAAGTGCCTGCGCTGCGGCAGGAGGAAGCAGCCCACACAAACACACACACATGATGCTGGAGGGGAGGAGGGAGCCCTTTGGGTGTTGCTGCTCAGGCTCTGCGCTCCTCCCTCTCTATCTATGTCTGTCTGTCCATCAGCACACCCGGGGGGCCCCTCCAGCATCCGTCAGAAGCCAAAGCCATCCGGGTGGTGGCTTGGTCCACAGCCTGGCATTGGAGAGGGGACAGGAGAGGGAGAGGTCCCATCACAGCCACCCCACACTGACCTGCCCGCACACCTCTGCAGCTGAATCCCTGCTGTGGTGGTCCCAGCACCTCCAGGCTGCCCCTTGGTCAGTGGAGGCAGTGCACCAAGTGAGGTCCAGCAGCGAGCACTGTGCTGGTGTTGTGCTGCCCACAGCCACGCAGCAAGCACAGCACAGAGGAGGCCGGCGGGGCCGACATGGCCAGTGTCATCCTGGAGAGCATCTTCTTGAAGCGCTCACAGCAGAAGAAGAAGACATCTCCCCTCAACTTCAAGAAGCGCCTGTTCCTGCTGACAGAGAGCAAGCTGTCCTACTATGAGTACGACTTTGAACGGGGGGTGAGTCGGTGGCCACAGGGCTCACCAGTTGTCCCTTTGCCAGCCCAAGGGGTGGTTGGACAGGGACAGTGGTTGGCTTGAGCCTCCCTTGACGATCACTCAAACCAAGCCTGTGTCTTGCAGCGCCGGGGCAGCAAGAAGGGCTCAGTGGACATTGAGAAGATCACCTGTGTGGAGACAGTGGTGCCTGAGCACAACCCTCCCCCTGAGCGGCAGGTCCCGGTGAGGAGGGGCCCCGCTTGTGTCCCCTCGCTGGGGAAGTAGGGAGAGGGACCCTGCTCTGGGGTGGTGGGAATGGGGGGACAGCCCTACTTGGCATGGGGGGCTCTGCACCCATAGCCCATACCAGGGGTCTGGCTTGATGCAGGGCAGGGGGATGCCAAAGGCTTTGGGTCCCATGGGAGATGCCAGCAGCCGAGCAGCAGGATGCCAGCATGTCTCTGCCTCTCTCTTCCAGAGAAAAGGAGAGGATTCCACAAACATGGAGCAGATCTCCATCATCGAACGGTTCCCTTACCCCTTCCAGGTGAGTCCCCACTGCACCCTTTGTGCGTCCACTGACTGCAGAGGAGGACCAGAGGGGGACTTGGTGCCAAACCCAGCATCACTGCCCCCATGTCAGGCATCACTCACCCATCTGGGGACACCCTGCTGCAGTCAGTGCTGCATGGGGCAGGCAGGTGAGCGCTGTGAGCCTCGGGTTGGGTAATTCTATTTAAGGGGGCTGCTTAGATGCAAACCAGCTTCTGAGCTCTGTTGTGCCTCTTTCGGCCCCACGGCCCATGCTGGAGGGATGCTGTCTGCCGGGTGCCCACTCAGCTCCCAGCCCAGCTGCCTGCCCCTTCTGGACACACTGAAAGTCAGAGAAGGAAGTGGAAAGTCTCAGGGGAAGGGGCTTATTTAGAACTTCTCTGTCACGGTCCCGTGAGCAGCATGAAGGCCAGCACACACAGCACAGCCTGTGCTCTGCCATAAGCCTCGGCTCCCCCCATCCTCCCTGGAGACCCCCAGTGGGTGCTGAGCTGTGTGCTCCTGCAGGTGGTCTATGACGAAGGGCCCCTCTACGTCTTCTCCCCAACGGAGGAGCTGCGCAGACGCTGGATCCATCAGTTGAAGAGCGGTGAGTTTGGGGGCTCTGCGGCCCCCCCCAAGCAAACACAAGCCATGAGCTGTGCGTGTGGTGTGACCCAGAGCACCAGGCTTCCGGGGTTTGTTATCTCGTGGTTCCACCGTCCCATGGCTGCAGAAGA